TTCCAAATCTTATTACGAGAGTCTTTCGGTGGTGGTGGTGGTGATCCATCAGCGGATTGGAGCCGCATCGATGTAGTTAGTGACGGGGGCCTCGCCACGTGGCTGGACGCCCCCCGAGCTGGCCCTAATGAAGCCCCTTTCACCGTCGGCGCCAGACAGTCGTCGCCACCGAGTTACCAAGTTGTGGTGTCGCCCTCCTGACGCTATAGTCCTCCTCCTCCCTCTGTTGCAGGCCGACCACGTGTTCGGCGGACCCGAGGAGCAGAGCCGGCACATCGACGAGATGCACGAGCGCTGCCTCGCCCAGGGCGCCGTGGACTGGAACCGGACGGCCGTGCTGGGCGGGATGGCGCAGGGCCTGGCCCAAGGACTCGGCGCAGGTAAGCTAGTCAGCATTCTGCTCTCCTTTACTTCCAAAATTTCACCAATCTCTTTAAATGTCAAATTTCGCCCACGGTTTGTGTTGACGTTTTTATTATAATTTTGCCGCATGTCCATGTTCGGCTCCTTTGAATACCCAAGTTTCCCGTTTGTTTTACACAGTCTTTTGAAGATGAGAAAAATATCGAATATATAGGAGACGACATATTTGTAATACCCGTGAAACATTCAAAATCATAACATTTCCGAATATCTTACGAGTCATCGTTATCGTGTCCTCTCCCTCACATGTGCGTGTTTTCATCAGTTTTTTTTTAGGAAAGGGGAGCAGGCAAGAGAGATCTGCCTTGGATCTTTTTCCTTTCAAGCCGTGCATCTACGTTTCATCTCTCTCTCCTTACCGTTGCGGTGTACATCCCCAATTTCCGGGCTGTTTTTTCTTTGCTATCTTCTTGTGAACGAAAATTGAAAGGAAGGCTTGGCGGGGAGTGTCGTGTAGCCTGGCGAAGCGTGGGAGAGCAGAAACGGGAGAGGGAAGGGGATGAGGGAAGGGGGCTGCAACCACGACGACGGCGCGGTGCTGCGCGGTGCTCGTGGCGCCCCACGCAGCGCCCACGCACCCACCTGTTGGAGTGGCTGGACAGCCCTCTGCCCCGCACCGCGACCCCCACAAGACGCCTGTTCCTGTCGGCCGTGACCCTCCGGATGGTCGTGTGCGCGGCTGGGCGCCTCCGCTCCTCAACAAACGCGCACTGCGTTGTGTGG